GTACGCCGAAAACTTTTCGGCCAGCGACAGTCGGCGAAACCGACCGTTTTCCGGTGAAATCCCCACCGACCGTGCGTTTTCCGGCTAGTGTGAGCGTGGTCTGAGAGTTGGTGTCTGCTCTGCTGTCGCCTAGCTTTAGATCTTGCGTTTTTGCTGTTGAGGTATGAATGCTGGAAATGAGAATTTACAGTCGGAAATTTGAAATTTATAGGCCCGCATTGCTGCCTCACGGGACGGTCCGGTCGGGACGGTCCGACCAAAAAGCCCCGGCCCCTACATTCGACCACGTATAAAAAGGCAAACTCCGGAATTTTGATTGTGCTTCCACGTGGTGCAATGTGAGGGCCGCGTGCGTCGACGAATAAGTCCAGAACTGTCCAGATGCCTTGCGTATATGGCTTTTTCGATTCCGGAGCGGGTCGGGACGGGACCCTTAGCGACCCATCGAGGCCACCGGCCGCGACGGTCGGGGGGGCACGTGGCGGCACGAGTGGGCAGTTTTAGGGGTGCTTCCCATGCGGCCGTTTCCGGTACATTATCGACAGATTATACCGGAAACCGGAGAAAATCACCGTTCCATGGGACCCTTTCCGCTAGATCTGAGCCGGTTTCGCGCGCAAACTTCCGCTACATCTTGTCGATTTCCGCTTCCGGTGAACTGCCCGTATACATCCCACAGATTGTAGCGGGCTCCGTTATAATCCACCGTGGCACTTCGGAGACATCCCATTGGTCCGCTTCGTTCCCCCGGGATTGCCCGCGCCCGCCTTGCCACTGGCAGCACTCAGACAAGTGCAGACTGGACGGGTCTGCTGCAGCAAGGGATACCAGGCGAGAAAGTCAGCAAGGCCCGGCGGGCAGGGAGGCTTCATGGCGTTCCCCGATATGGGCGCGGCAATGCTGCTCTATCCCCATGCTGTAGGTTTTGTGAGCAAGATAGAGCCCTCAAGCTTTGTGCAAGCACACCCTCACCAAGTTGCTACCGAAATGGGAATGGACGCCGAGTTTTGTCAGCTCGCTTGCTTTGACCCAAGCTCCGTGGACAGTATGCTTCCTTTAGTTAGCATCATCGAGCAACTCCAGCAAGCTGTGGCTGCTCGACTTGCGCATCAATTGAATCAGTCCCAGTTTGGACACGTGACACAGCAGAGCGCTGGTTTTGTCACGCCGGAAAAGGCTCCTGCAGGAGTGTCACATAGTGGGGGACCACAGATTGTGCAAGCCGGGGTAGATGCAGGAGGTGACACTGTTGTCTTGCCAGGGGCTCCTGCAGGTGCTGCAAAGAAGACCAGGACGAACTGGTCGGTGTATGAAGGCGACATGCTGATTGCTGTGATGAAGATACATGAGGATGCGCTGCTGGATCCAAGCACAGGAATCAAGTATAGGACAATGAGCGCGGCAGAGAAGTTCACCATGATCAGCGAGCGCTTGGCTCAGCTGGATCCACCAGTGTACCGCACAATCAGCCAGATCGAAGACAAGTGGGACAGGATGACGAGCGATTTTAAGAAGGTGTATGACTGGGACAAGCAGCCTCCAAGTGGGAAACCCTCGTACTGGAACATGCCACAGGAGATGAAGCGGGATCAGAAGATGCCTCCAGCGTTTACCAAGGCTCTCTTTGACAGGCAAGTACTACTTGCAGTTCCCATTCTCTCTCTGGCTGCCAGTTGCAACTTACGCTTGACAGTCATCCTTTGTGCGGCTTTCTTCAACGTACATCGTATCAGTAAGCATGCTACAGGGAAACAGTTTGTGACTTGCGGTGCAATCTAGTTGAGAGCTTTTAAGATGCTGAAAAGAGGTAAGTCAAGTTCATGGAGAAGTAACTCAACACCTATGGATTGCAGAGTTCGTTGATTGAAGCAATTAAGTCTTCAATATACTCTGAAGCAGGGGTTTGAAGAGCACATCAGCTAAGGGGGGGAGGACTGTAACGGCACGACTGCGCACCGACTCCCGGCTGCGCGCCGAACTCGCGGCTGCCGCGCATCGTCCGTTATTTTACGCTGTCGACTTATTGAATCACTACACGCCACGTGTCCAGGTTACTGCTTCACCGAGTGACCGTTCGATAAAGACCCACGTGCACCGCGCGCCTGGGAACCGTCCG